ATCTTTCTGAACTTTTCCCCTCTGTTTGGAGGGGAAACTGAAATACCTAACAGCAAGTATGACTGAGTCAAGTGAATAGTCTTTTGTTGTTGCCCCAGAGCCTGGTTCAATGGAACTTGATTTGATCTTAGATGGCTTCATTATGGGGTTTGGTCAGGTCACTTTAATGGATTCTTGGAGAAGTCTACCATAGAATTTATCAGATTCTCCAGCGCTTTAAAAACTCTGGTAATATCCAAACCCAGAATGCATATCTTCATTTTAAGAAGCACCATTATGGACTAGAACTGAATTAGGCTTTTCCAGTCTTCGAGGGACTGCATCTTGTCCTCTTGACCACGTATGTATAGGTTCTTCCTGATGTTCTTTAAGGATTATAAATTGGTTTTCATTTGCCATTTTGATGAGATACAGTCAAACTTCATATTTAAAATTTTTATTTAATGAAGAATTGTTTTCTATAATTATCAGTAGAGGATAGCCTTTAGCAGTTTCTATTTGTTTTGTTGTAAGGTATCATTTGCTTGCTTTTAATTTTTATTTATTTGAAATTGTAACTATAATAGTCCTATCACTGAAACTGATGCATGTTCTATTTGTTTTCTCTTATACTAAATAGCATGCTTACTATATAAATATAGCTTTAAACTTCTTAAGTTTTCTACATTCCAGGCTGTGCATTTCTTTGAAATCTTAATTAAAGATGTGATTGATTAAAATTTGGCTTCTAGGAATCTAAGAGATACCATTATAGGTGGTTGCTGTTTTTGTTTGTTTTTGACAAATCTTATTTTTCTTTCTTTTCTTTTTTTGCTCCATCTTCTTTCTTTCGTTCCTCTTTATTTTTTTCAATAGAGATGGCCTTCAAAAATAGGGACAGATAGACCTTTCCAACTGGCTTTCTTAACATTCAGGAAATCTAGTAATATGTCATCTAATCTTTTTTCTGCAACATAGACTAGGTGTTGTTTTAGTGACTTTAATGTTTATAAAAAGTAATTTGTGTTTATTGTAGAAAATTTGGAAAGAAATCACAAGAAGAAAAATATCTGCCATAATCTTAATATCTGAGATTAGTGCTAGGAATAATTTAGTATGTAGGTTCTTACATGCTTTTTCTAATGCATACACATTTTTTTCTGATACATAGATAGACACATACATACAGATCTACATTTATTCACAGAACCCATTGTGCATAGTCTATATATGTATATATCATATCATAAAAATTATTATTATTAACATTTTGCAACCTGCTTTTTAAGCTTAATGATGCTTTGTAAATTTTCACTTGCCATATTTAATGAAAGCTTAACATTATATCACATATCATTTATTTAACTAGTTCACTGTTTGGAATATTTAGGCTACTTTAATTTGCATTCCTTTCAGTATAGATTAATTCTATAGAATATTCATTACAGATAACTATTACAGATTAATATTATTTTATATATATATCTTAGCTTGTGTTTCTTCTATTGTGAATTCCCTGTTCATGTGAAAAAAATGAGATCTTTGTTTTATTTATTTATTTATAGATTATTAACTCTACGATGTCATATACTTTAAAAATATTTATCTGTTTTATTGTTGGCCTCATACTTATTCAAGATATTTTTTGACTTTGAAAAATTTTTTAATTTTAAGTAGTGAAATTGATAAATCTTTATGCTTATGTTATATTCTACTGTCTATGTGGCTTAAAAGGCATTCTCACCTTGGAATTCAGAAAATTATATACATAGGTTTTCTTACAGCTCTTTGATTACTTATTACATTCAGATGTATCAATCTGCTTTATATTTTGGTGCCTGGTAAGAGGTAGGGAACAAAAGAAATTCTTTTCCTATGTAATTAGTCTCAATGCCGTGAAAATGCTTACCTGTAATGCTTCCCTGTGGTCTATTCTACTGATCTGTCTCTTCCACTGCCAATATCACACTGTCATCTATATTTCAATCTTCGGTGAAAACTAACCTTGTTCTCTACTCCTTTGCTGCAGAGTCAAAAACCAACACTTGATATTTTTTTTGTTATAACCTCCTTTTTGGTTTTATGTATTTTTTAAAAATTTGAACTAACTACGAAGCATCAGAACTACTAAAGATAATTTTAGTTCAATTTAGTTCAACAAAGACTTACTGAATGTTTGCTATATACCAGTTCCTGTGCATGTATTAGGAATACATAAATGAATTGGAAACCTGTGTGGTAGAATCCTTGTGCTAGAAAAATGTATTAATCTGATGGAGGCAGACAGTGTATGTAAATGGTCAAGATAGTGGCCTAATATTGATAACTATTTTTTTCTGATTCTTTTTTCCTTTTTTAATCTATGAGTTATTGACTCTAGGCATTTTATATGCTTTTCTTTTTTATCTTCCTTAAAACCCAGGAAAAATTAAGTGACATTGATTTAAAGGAGTTAGATTGACTCAGGCATATGAAATATGATGACATTTTTCATATTCATATAGTCTGTTTACTTTTTCTAATTAATGAACTGATAATTGTGTCTTCCTATTTTCAGTTCTGTAAATTTTTATTGAATATTTGCTAGGCACTATTTAAGGAGCCATAGGGAAAGAAAAATGTATGTCTTTGACAAATTTATAATTTAGTGGGGGAAATTCATTATTTATAAAATAATAGCAATATAATAAAATAATAGATATTGAGAGTATTGTTTGCTGTGTGCATTGTACAAAGCAAGGTAATATATATTAACTCGTTTACCTCTTATAATAGCCCATCTAGTCCCCTAGATACTTTTTTGACTCTCTCTCTCACTTCATGTACACTTTTTCTTATTGTCACCTCCTTTGAGAAGCTTTCTTGTCCAAACCAATTTAAAATATCTGCCCATGTCAATGCTGTTACCTTACTGTTTGCACTCATAGTACTAATTATATGACATTATAATTTTAACAGCTTACTTGCCTATTGTTTGTTTTCCACTGCTAGAATGAATATTGAATGGAAGACTAAACAATGGGTTGTAGAAGTTTGCAGTTGTGAAAGATCAAAGTTAATATATAAAATTTAACTTCTTTAAGTCTAAATTTCTTTATCTGTAAATGGATGCAGACTTAGTGCTTGTCTTTTTTTTTTTTTTAAATGTTTATTTATTTATTCATGAGAGTCAGAGAGAGAGAGAGAGAGAGAGGCAGAGGCAGAGGCAGAGGGAGAAGCAGGCTCCCCGCCTAGCAGGGAGCCCGATGCAGGACTTGATCCCAGGACCCTGGGATCATGACCTGAGCCGAAGGCAGACGCTTAACCATCTGAGCCACCCAGGCGCCCACAGACTTAGTGTTTGTCTTATAGGTTGATCAGGCTGTTCATTATTTCACTCAATAAATATTCATTGATCTTAGTATATGGCAGACAATCTTCATGAAATTGGGAATACAGTGAAAAAAGACAGTGTCTGTCCATATGGCACTTCCATTCTAGTGGGGGAGACAATAGATAAAAATTACTTTTATAATGTATCATGTAACGGTCAAATTAATTTTCTCCAAATTAAATTTCTCCACCTCATCCCTACAATCTGAACATTTTTTTTCTATTTCTAGTTATTCTCTGTTTATCCATGATTAATGGTTCTAATCATATTCCTCCCAAAAGATTCTAATTTTCTAAAGTTTGGTGTTGCAGAGTAAATGTGATACTACTCATGTATACTGACTATAACAGGACTAGCACCTTCCTTTCCTCAGTCCCATTTATCAGTACAGCTTAAACTCAGGTTTGTTTTGGTTTACTGGTATAGTTTGATGTTTGATTCTTTGTTTTCCCTTCATAAAATATTATTTATGCATATTAAAGATCCAATCAGTTAAAATCCTTAGATCTTTTTCATTTTAATGTTTTTGTTGTTGTCGTGTTTTTTTGTTTGTTTTTTGTTTTTTTACTGTAGATGCACCGGCTAATAGGATTGGCTTATGTTTATGTATGTGTTTCCATTAGTAAAACTGCTTTTGAGATTTTGAATGGCTGAATCTCTGTGGAGATTATTAGTAGATATGACATCAAGGTCATCATTGAAATTTCATGGCAAATTTAGAGGGATAACTTTCCAAGGACATAAAATATCAAATTCAATTTTTAAAAGGAGAATTGTTTCTAGTTAATTTTTTTTATATTCAAACTCACCAAATTGGTTTTAAAGGCACCTCAACATCCTGCCTGCTTTACTGCTCCCAGTCCTAGGTTTGAGTATATACTATCAAACACATGTGGATGGAAAAGAATTTAAAAGTGACTCATTCATTTGTTTGACATTCCTGCCTCCAAATCTGTGTAGGACCCTACAATAATAGCCTTGCTTGCTGAGACAGGAAACATAAAGCCATGTTCTAATGTCAGTGCATTAGGTAGTGTATACCAGTTCAAGCTATATCGAACATGTTACCCTCTGCTCCCTGTTTCTTTCCTTCCATTTACTTTTCATTCTCTGGATTATCTTCCTTTATGCAAATCTCTTTAACCTCACTCATTATTTTGAGGATAGGGCCTGTGTTTTATGTTTGTATTTTTTCTAACTCATCAGTACTTACCAGTATATTATACCCAGTAGATCTTTGCAAAATCTCTGATAATTAAGAATAGACAAATGCACGGGCTAAACTATTTGGGATTACCTTTTTTCAATTATACAAACATAAATGTAAAAACTTTAAGTTTTTAAAGTTTTTGTGTAATTGTGTAAATTAAGAAAGCTTCTAATAATACTGTAATAAATACCCTGGTCTACATCTAAACCCTGTACACACATTGATTTAAATCATGTATTTGTGCCATACTTTACTTTGTACTTGTACTGCACATACAGAAATGAATGTGTTAGCCTTTTTTTTCTTTTGAAAACTATAGATATTAGTTGGCACACACAAACTCAGCTACCTACTTCTCATGACTAGTTATAGACTTACTGTGGAAATGTAAATTGCTTCCTTAGAAGATTTCTAATTTTAAGTATTTTCTTTTTACAGTCACACAAAAAGTATTAAGGATTGCCCCTTGAGACTCTGAAGACTAAAGGTAATGTCCAGTGATATTTTCTTGAATGGGTTTTGTCTTCCTGAAAAGTTTCATAATATTTAAGGCCTTGGTTTACTGCCTCAGGTCTTTATTGCCCTTTAACACATTAAATATCTTTTTCTATGTCTACCTAAAAAATAATCTGAAATTATAAGTCAAAAAAGAAGAACCCTTGTGTCATGTCAGAATGTCTCAGCCTAATTGGGTGTTGCTATACCTCTTCTTCCTTCTATATGGGAATGTATTATGGCCCTTCTCTGTTTTTGAAATCAGTTTGGAACTCTTCTGATTTTATACCTTGCCCTTTTCTTAAATAGACATACTGGCTCAAAACCAAAAAGTTAACACCCATTCCTCCTCAGGAAGAGCTTTACAACTAACTATACTAGATAAAAATGCATTTGTTATAGACAATAAAACTGTGCAGGAAATCGTGCAGATGAGATTTAGTGGCTACTTGTAGTCAGAAGTCCAGAATTTCAGGCAAGAAGTGTACAATAGACTTGTGTTGCTGCATTGTGTATTAAGAGCTCATAGGAATTGAAGAAGGTTTCTGAGACAAGAGGGGGCTGTAATTACTTTGTTTCTTACATGCATGGTTAGATCTTCCAGCAAGAATAACATGGTAGGGTAATTTATTATAGAAGAGTAAATCACAGATTACATTGGAGGGGGATGGGGTGCTGCGATCCAACCATCAGTTTTGTGAATACATACACTTAAGCATGTGTGATAGCTTGTTTTTAATTTCTTTACACCAGTGCACACCTCAAACATTCCGTTTAGCAGTGGGATATGCAAATTGTTCCAAATGCAGCAGCAGTACTTTCACCTGAATGTCAAAACTGTCAGAGAGCTTTAAATCAAATCTTTATAACATTTTTTAAAAACCAGCCAGCCCCGAGATTGAGGCACCAAACTCACTGCAAAAACTTGATTCCCATGCTTTCAAAATGCTCCAGTATGTCAACAGGGTAATGTCAAAGTTCTAATTCACCTGCTTTCTAATTTTAACCTTTTAAGGATTTTATTTTATTTGGCTTAATTACGGTATTTTCTACAAATTAATGATAAATGCCTTGATTAATAAAACCAAATGTCAGAGAAAATGACAACTTGATGAAAAAATAATACTCGGCAATATTTTAAGGTACAGAAGTACTAAAGATGTACTCTTAAACCTCATACTTCATCAGCTCTTTTTGAAGGTGGGTAACAGCATTATTCTTGCACAGAAGTTTCCATTGCCACATGTGTAGATGCATTTTAGCAATATAGTTCTCAGCTGTTGTTTTTACTACTAACTGTTATAGATAGAAATATATTCGTAATTTTTAATCTCTCCTTTTCCTCACAGTATTATTTATTTTTATTTCACAAATTCAAGGTAAACTATATTTTAGGTTGGGTATAGAGATAAAGCTACCATATTAAACATCCAAACAGCAACGCGGACACGTGCGCACATGTGCGTGTGTGTTTGTGTTCATGTGTGTATTTCAAGAAGTCTCATGGTATAAAAGGTAGTAGTTTACAACTGGATATCTGTTAGACTGTTATGAATATTTCACCTGGAGTATTTAAAAATTATTCAGTAAAAGTATTAAATACAAAGAGAGCACCTCCATTTCAAAGGGAAATAGATTTTAATATGGGGATTTCCCTTTTTTCAATGTTTTTTTTCCTGAGGTTTCATTAAAAGACCTGAATACCAATAAAGAGTTGTAATTTGTTTTTTTCCTATAAATTGTTGGTTAGATAAAAAAACCCTAAAGATCAAGAAATATGACTATTTTCCCCTTTTTACTGAAGATCATGGAGTTAAAAAAATTTTAAAGATTTCATGTATTTTTCCATCTTCACAAACATCAGGATAACTTTGGGGTATGAATACTTAATTATTTGATTAAATGTTATGCAGAAATAGTACTATACAAGAATTATAGTCTGTGTTGGTTTTTTTATTTTCATATTTCACAGATGAAGCTGCCAACCAAATAAGGGAAGGCACAATGGCCTCTTCTGTGTTCTGCTTTTGTTTGGTTTGGTTGTTCAGGGATAAAAAGACCCACATAATGCACTGTCAGTGAAATGGACACACTTGGACCATCTGTTCATGTAATGACATGATGGCCATACCTATCAACAGAAATTTCTGCCAACTAATGTTAAAATCACTTTTTTTTTGGTAATATGCTGGGAATTCCGAGATAGGGTTGCAGGCATGTTGCTACACATAGTAAGATAAATAGAGGTAAATGTTGGTCAATGGCTTGTAAATACAATTATGTTAATCCCAAGGGAAACATTCTTCAGTGGTGATTTCTGGTACTATTTAAAATTGGAGATGGGTTGTGCTGAACCTTCCTTTAGCTGGCTATAGGTTTTATTGTTTTTGTGTATTGTCTGGTTCCAGACATCTAGTCTGTACTGGTAAAGCTGCTTGATGAGCAGGGGCCACTGACATCGCTGCCCTGACTGCTCACATACCTGCCATGAATAATAGATTTGTCAGCTAGTTACTCATTGCATTGTAACTGTCTCTGTTCCTTCTTAGCTGATCACTGCCCAGAGAAGTTGAAGTTCCACTGTAGGACAAAGCTTCTATTATGTTTCTATACCTGCATTTATTTGTATACCAAAGCATCTATTCTTCTTTCTTCAAATACTGGTAAATAAGACATGCCACACTTCCTTCTCAATTCTTCAATTACATATTAAACAATGTACTTCCCCCCCTTGTTAATTATATTCATCTGCCTTTCACCAATTTACTTTCATATATGAACCAATTAACTTTTATTCATTAGTTACAGGATTTGGTCAAGAAAATACTAACACCTACCTCACAAATCTACCTCACAGCTTTATAAGTTTCTCATTGAGATTCTAGTTATTTGGGTCAGTACTATAAGAGAATGTCATTTGCCCCGAAATGTTTATGAACAAAGGAGGTAGACTGAAACCCAAAATAATCCTAAAATACTTTTGCTTGATGGGACATTGTTTGATCCTAGAAATGAGGACAACTGACCAAAGCTTATACAGTTAGTCTTAAGTTTCAGGAAGTTGGAGTTGATTTTTTAAACTTTATGCTGGTGCGAACACACACAATGACCAGCTGATGCTCTTTGAAGAATCTAAACCTTATGGAAAATTAAACTTGTTAGACTATCTTTCATCCAACAGGAAAAAAGAAAACCCTAAAAATAAATACGTTTTCTAATGGACTTAAAATACATAAATTTCTGGTTTTAGTACTTATAATTTGACCATACCTTCTCTCTAAATGACTTTTTGGTCCTTTTGGAAACTGTGTTCTCTCCTTTAAGCTCACACTGTTTTATTCTGCAAGCTCAAGTAATTGAGACCTTACTGGTTTGAAAAGATTAAGGCAGCTTCCGGAGTTGCCCACTGTATAAGTACCAGTAGAGTGATCCGTTTCTCTCAGTAGGATTCATTTACCTTCATTTCCTTTGCAAGCCTGTGTTTATTAATGAATAAACTACACTCATGAAACACACTGCTAAGTAGATCAATCAAAAGATATCAAGAAAAACCGTGAACATTGTCCAAGATATGTAAGGGATTTGTGTTTCCTGCCTAAATGCCGCTTTCATTCTTCCTCCCTATCTACCATCCCCTCTAATATCCAGGTCTCTCTTTGTATCCTTTAGTGATGACAAGATGTTTTTTATTACTCTAATGAAGTGGGAAACAGATTAACATGCTTTCTTCTTGGGAATTAGATTACTTATTGTAGTACTGTTCAACGTATCTTTGTAATACTCCCCCACCTCTACCCACAGCTAATTAGTGACTTTCAGAATTAGGGAAAATCTTGGTTTTGTGGTGGCTCTGTATTTACCAGTGATCAAGGAAGTGTTACTAATACACTTGTCAGTATTAAAAAAGAATTAAGTAAATAAAGAGCCAGATGGCCGAGCCCAGGACCTATCAAGAACCCAGTATGTGTGGGCTGGTCCAACGGAATGACAGAAGCATATTACCAGGCTAAGTGGAATCAAAGTTAGGCTTTCACTTATAAGAAAAAGGACATTTTTCAAATGTGTTTTCTTATGATAATAGTGATTTACATGTTCAGACCTCATTTGTACTAGTAACATTTGAAAGCATATAGTTCCCTGTATATCAAGAGACAGGAGTGTTTATGTGTATCAGAAAAGTCTCTTGGAACAGGACATAGTGGCATCAAAGCAATGCAATTACCATGTGAGCATTTTTGCTGGTTCAGAGAAGAATCCTGCTTTGTTCTCTCACGGAAGTCTATGTGTTTATTGTTATAACTTACTTAATACATTTTATTTTAATTGAATATTTGTCTCCTCCAGTAGACTCTACTATGGCTTATGATATAAAGAACCTGGTTATGTAGATGTTGTTATAGTGTATGGCCAGATGAGGGACTAGTAAATATTCTCTATGTGTTTTCTTATAATAAGAGCATTACAATAGTGGTTATAATAAGATTAACTTAAAGTGAAGAAATTGAGAAAATATATTCCCTTCCTTTCCTATGATTTGTCTTTACATGTATACATATATAAATATCTTGTTTCCTACTGTAATTGCCATTTCCATTTATTTTATTTTATCTTGCAACTATGTACTTTTGGAAGCCATTTTAAATATTTGTGGTTTCTGGGATAGATAGATGGATCAGTGAATTGCTGGGTAGATAAATTGACTAAATAGAATGTACATTTTTAAAGATTTTTCTCCTCACAGCTACAGAAATAATGGAGAGAATATTAGCTAACCATAGGCCTCCCATCTTTTTCTCTCCATGCCTTCTTTCCAATCTCCAGAAGATATTTAGTAAATGTCTGCTGTGCCAGGAATTTCCCAGGTGCTAGATATAACTGCTGAACAATAGAGACATAGTCCTTATTCTTGCGGGGCTTGCTGTCTAATAGGAAAATATAATAAACACATAAATAAACATTACAAACATAGATATGTAATTAAGTGGATTATTT